CGATTCCGTTATAATTTCAATAATTCACCGTGAATTCCACTAATTACTCCTTATCCTTGTAATTGTAGTAATATTACTCCAATCCTATTATTATCAGTAATTTTACAGCTAATTACAAAGCTAATCCTTTTACAAAAACGTCTCATAGGCTCATTCTGTCTGCCAATTCTCTTTTGAGTAAAGCGTTATTTCAGTGCTCACAACCAACCCTCCTACCAAAATCTACAAACGCAATACCGGGTGTAAACCAAATTAGGCACCCCTGTAACTTTGCCAGTATAGGCAGTGTGAAATGTGAATATATTCCGGTTGGAGCGGAAGTAGCCCTAAATTTTGAAATTTAAATAGCACATCCTGTATATATATTTTTACATTTTTGGATTTTACAGACAATAATAGACGGTTCCTGTTAGCACCTTCTATTGGCCATTTTTTCCCGAAAATCTGAATCTGTTATCAAAATTTCCATAACACACTAGATGTAGAAGCTACAAGCTGTTACTTTCTTATTTCTTAGGAACGCCATATTGGATTTTTACAGAATGATATAGGGGACCAGGAAGAAATTTATTTGAATGCAGCATTGCATCCCTATCATAGCGATGTTGACTCAGTAAGATCTAGTTACCCGCGGATATTTTAATCAGTGTAAAACATTTGATTTTGAAATTTTTCTTGTAAATTTATGTAAAAGCAAAGAATACCATTCATTCCATAAAAATTCAATATAAGTAGTTATTTTCCGAAACAAAGATGCGCATAGAAGGTGCTAACGGGAACCGTTCATTTTCGACAGTTTAAGCTAGGGAAAATGAAAATAAAATTTGACATTTTTCAAGAATTTCAAAAGCCTTTTGTTAGTCAGAAAAAAGGGCTCATTGAATCTACACTGTATATCTCACAGTTCCAATTCCAACGGTGAACCACGAATTTGAACCACCCTGTACATTTTATGTCATTTTCAATAAATTATACTAGGTTGTTCAAAAAACTACCATTTTATTTTTTAATCTGAATGCCTATAAGTATACCAAAATCGTTCTTTATGGACTCCGCAGGGACGTCACTGGTGAAAATTTAAAAAATCTTTTACGTTAAAAGATGCGCCTTAATGATGAAAAAGGTGTGTACAACATTTCATAAAAATATCCAAGACCACGTTTTTCTTAAAATTTTAACACCCTGTATCTCAAAAACTAAGAGGTTAAGGTTATGTTGATATAAACTTTTCCCCTTAAAATCACCCGAGGATTCACACCCTGTATTATCGGCACTCAATTAATTAACATCCTCTATAGGAAAAACGAATTGGGCCATTTTTAAAAATTACGCGGTTGCCACGTTCCTATTTCAGATATGCCAGACCGCTCAAGCGTAGGTAAGCGAAGCATCTTGGTAAGGGAGTCGAAATTGTGAAAAATGTTTCCCAATATTCCTAGAGGGACATATCGAAAATGTGATAGTATATCTATAGATGGAAAATGCCTAATGTGACAATATGCCGATTTACCATTGAAATTGATGAGGAAGTTGTTGCACTAGCAACCTAATCAGAAAGAGAGTAAGATAGATGTCCCTTGCATTAACATACATTGGTTGCCTTGCAGATGCATGATCTGAGAGAAATCGATGAACGCAGTAAACCTGAAGCTCAATCTCAAGTAAATATTAGTATTTAAATTGATTAATAACATAAAAATAAAGATCAAAAATAAAACAACAAATTCTGGACGGAAACATACAGGGTGTTTTTTTGGGAGCTTTAGTTAAACGTTTCTGGGAAAGTGAAATAGATAGGTTCGAGGATAGGTTTTTGAACATTTGTACCTAAGAGTTACTTTGAAGGCTGAATCTATGTAAAATATTTTCAAAATGGTTGCACTTACGGAAATAACCCATATTTACCAGTGCATGGATAAAGAATAGGGCTTTCTTTTAGTGTACTTAAAAAAAGTTAAGTTGCGCACGACCGCACCTATGAAGATCCAAATTTAAAAAACTTCAAAAATTAAAATCTCAATTTATTTTAATGAAATGAATATTTTCTTACAATTGCATTAGATAGAGAATTGAAATTGGCATATTTTGATATTACATGTTCCTATAGCTATCTTCAACAGTTTCTGACTTATTCCCAATTCATTGAATTGATACAATTTTTTTTTATCTTTCGTTTTAGTAGTCGGCCATGATTTTATGACAATTGAATTCAATTCAATTCTTTTTCTTAAATGTTCTCTTGTAGAGTTTTGTATCACTTGTGATTCAATGGTTTGTAGTGCATTTCTTACTTTCAAGATCATGTCTTCTCTTGTTGTAGGAGGCTCCGGCATAAACTGTGTCTTTTATATATCCCCACAAAAAGAAATCTAATAGGGAAAGGCCCGGGGAACGAACAGGATCTAGGTTTCCGATCCAATTCCCTGGCAAAATGGTGTCTCAAAACTCGGAAATAATTCCTGCATTATGTGCAGGGACACCATCTTGTTGATAAGACATAGCAAACTTATTCCTGCAGAGGCGGATCTTTTGTTGCTGTTCAACAACAATATTACCATTGTATATACAATGTTATTACGTAAAATTCTCAAATAACGTTCTGCGTTCAAATTTTTGTTGATACACATGGATACACAAAATCCTGTTATTTTTCAACGCACAAAACACATTAAAACTCCAGAACCCTTGGAAGTATAGGTACTTATTGATTTAAAAAAAAGGTTTTGCTCTAGATAAATGTTTTGGGGGTACAAAGTTTCCAAAATTGATACAATTTCGTTCCGCGTTCCCCGTTCGCCGCGATTCTGTCCATTTCATCATAAATATCAATTAAATTCCAAAAAGCTTCATGCTTCGTTAGTGTCACTAGAATTGTTTAAAATTCGATTGTTATAAAATCATGGCCGACTACTAAAAAGAAAATCCGAAGAAAATGGTATATCAATTCAATAAAATGTGAATAAGTCAGAAACTGTTAAAGATAGCTATAGGAACATGCTCGAGAACATGTAAATATTCCAATTTCGATTCTCAATCTGATGCAATAGTAAAAAATGGTCATTTAATTAAAAAAACTGAGTTTTCAGTCCCTGAATTTCTTAAATTTAGATCTCCATAGGTGCGGTCGTTCGCAAACTAAAAGAAAGCCCTATCCTTTCTCTATGCACTTGTAAAAATGGGTTACCAGAACTACAACTGTTTTCAAGTAATCAATTAGCAAGGAACCATCTGCATCCGCCATTTTTTTTCTTAATTTTTCTTAAAGTAAAGATAATTTAAAAATCATAAATGGTAGATATAATAATAATAGCGACACTAATGGCTAATCGTTACTTGATTTTAATCCGTGTGATTAGTTAACCAGGCTAGAAACAAGAAACACCGACCATAATAATAATCATATTCAAAAAAAATTTTTTTAGAACCTCATGGCATAGATTCAGCAAAACGCTGCTCTTCCATCTACACCATGACAAAACAAAGAATATTTGTACAGGGAAAAACAGCGAAAGAAAACAAAATTATATTAGAGTAACTACTTATTACTAAGTACGTGTACAGTGAAATGATGAATCGAGTGATAAAAGGCCAAACAATTGTTTTTTTAACTGACGAGTTGGTAAACTTCTTAAGAGGCGACGGTAATGCATTGTACATCACAGCAATGGTGTAACTAAATGACCGCTCAAATAGTGCTGTTTGAGGTATAGTTAGTAGTCCTTTATGCGTAAGGTTTAAATTGTGAATGTCAGCCCTAAATCTGATCTTATTTATGTATAAGTATGGTGGCCGCTTATCGGAGATGATTTTATGAAATAAAACAGCATTTTGGAGATGCCGCCTACTCGTCTATCGACATGTGGGTATCAAAAGAACTGCAATTTTCCTTACAATTCAAAAATGCAATAAAAATAGGGGTTGCTATTTAAAATAACGAAGTTACGAGCTCCTTCCGGTATTTCCGGAAGTGCGACCATTTTGAAAATATTTTATATCGATTCGGCCTTCAGAGTACCTCCTAAGTACAAATTTTCAAAAAACCTACCTATTTCACTTTCCCAAAAACATTTCACTAAAGCTCCCAAAAAAACACCAACAAAATAAATCGAATAAGAATAATTTGCGAACATCTCGGTATGACAGAGCCATAATCCCAGCTTGCCAATGCACGTACCTACCTACTTGCATATCCGTAGAAGTATAAGGGAATTCAAACAGGCGGAGTTGCAAAAACATGAATCTTTTGGATTTCCAATGATATCCATGAAGATCCAAGAGCATTAAGAAAATCCGAATGCCCAATGGTAATTTCTCCCCGAGTTTCTCCTTCGGTAAATTCAGAAAAGTTAAAGAATTAAAGATTAATAAGTAGTCAAATTAAAATTTGGTTTGTAAATTGTCAATGAATTCTTTTTTTGGTTGGCCTCGCTTGAAATTATGCCTATCAGTCACGCATTGGTTCACTTTTGAACCATTTTATGGATTAGACGATAAAACATTTAAAAAACAATTTGTCGGCAATCAAACCAGGTATTTATAACCGGAGTGGTAATAAAGTGGTTCCATAATTAAAATTCACATTTTCATTTGATAAAGGAAATAAAGTTTGTAATACCAATTAATTAAGCGCATAAAATAAAGCGTTTTTGTGACGTTTGACTTTTTAGTGTAGCACCTACCTAATTATTTTTGTAAAGTTTATAACTATCCTGTGATTGATGAAAATATGTATAGTTTCGCTCATTATCTTACATAAGAAATAATTAAGGATCTTTGCATACTACATAGGTAATTGGTTTCGCCTAACATGCGATGTGTATGTATAATAATTGAAATTTGAGAACTGAATGGATTCAAGATGACTCCGTTCATTATTCGCTACTTACACATAAAATTATCGCGTAAGCAGATTATGTACACTTATTGCGTTTACTTAAGCGAGAAAATACTGCGATACGGAAAAATACCTGCAGGAAATGAGAAAAAAGGAAAACACTTACTATTGACAAGTTTTGCACATTGTCGCAAAAATTACAATCCTCACTCTATTGCCATAACCGACACAATTGTCACACGTCCCTAATGTCGGTGGTCTTATTATCAGCAGTGGGTGATAACAAGGTATTCCTTTGGTTATCTGTCACTAGCGTAGTATCTTGATTATTTTCACTTCAACGCTTGTCACGAATTAACAACGCTATGACGTATATATTTCTCCCCGGGAACACGTGCTTTTTGTGTAAACAATGTATTTAATAAAAAAATGTATGTCGCGAACAGTGTTTGAATTGCACGATTTTTAAATGCCTGGCACTGTTGAGGAAGTGGTTTCCCTGTAACTATACTACATTTGGAAAATACTATTCAGTCCAAGGATATAAAACGAAATAATTAGAAACTTGTTTAAACATCATGTGAAAAATTCATATGAGTTAATTGCTTAAAATCCTTGAAGGTAAGATATTGTAGTCGCCCGATACGTCACATACCGATTAATTTTTGAAAATTACCTAATTAACGAGCGGATCGCGGCGCCGCCACAAAAGTTACACGCGCTCTTATTCGAAACGAATTATTGAATCACGATCGTTTCGCGGTAAAGGCCGTTACGCGGAAATTCCAATAAAAAGAAGTAAAACTGCACGTTGTCGATCAAGCTTGTCTGCAAGCCTTGTGGCTACTGCTCAAGTTCGAAATTGAATTTTAAAATGCATTTAACACGCATCGTTCCAATAGAACTAGTTATTGCTAATTTAAAAGTGTACAATACAATACACATTAGATGGCCGCAATAAAAAATAAATAAATTTTCGCATTATTGACATTGAACTTATGCCTTTCACCAATGTAACTACCTTGTCACGAATGCCAGTTTATCGAACTGTGACCAATTATTTCCAATTCGATTTAAATAAATACGTGATGTATGTATTGCAATCACGAGTAATCTACATCCATTGATTTGTCCCATTCCAAAATACTTCCCACCATTACTCACCAAAGTTGATTTGGCACAATTATGCATATTTTGTAGTCCTTGGTACGGATGGTTGCCTAGGAACTTCAAGGTATTCCCATTGTATTATGTTCGCTATACATATAACGCGTTTCCTTTGTAACATACACCTAAAATGACCAGTCCCAACTATCCTTATTTTGAGTTAGTATATTGAGCGATTAGCATAAAATTGATTTCATCTTCTTCGAAAAGTCGAATACGAATTTTTGAATTCTGTTTTTGGCTAAAAAGTCGATCAAATTCACTCAAAACAGTTAACATTTATTGGGAAACGAGCGCCCAGCATCTTATTTACGGAAATTTATTCATTGCATATTCGCGAATTAGGAAGCAAATAATTTACGCCTATTGAAAGCTGCTAAACTTGTAGAAATTTTTATATGTTTATGTAATGATCGTGATGAAATTAACAAAACTGACCAGAAAAGAGTGTATTAAAGGGAAAGTTTTGAAATGTCGGTTTAAATGTATAGATAAAGTTGCGATTGATAAATGAATTGGTGCTGAAAATTAGGCAAAATACGAATTATTTGCTACTAAAAATAGTACCATACTGTTACCACTTAAAAAAAATGAAGGATTTGTGGGGCTAAATTGCCACAAACTCGGCGAGGATGTCCGTACCCAGGGGCACTATTTTGGGTGATTTAGTATGGGCAAAATAACGTTTGCTACAGTTAACCAGCACGTTAAGTTAACCGTGTCTTAGTGAGAACAAAAAATACAATACGCTCTGTATACATTAATGGTGCTACGTTTTCGATTTCGACCCTTCTAATGCCGAAAATCAGAGGATTTTCATAACGAAGCTTGAAGAAAAAGTTAGCGTTAGTTAATGGTACTCGAATCCGAGCTGGGTTTGAGTAATGGCGTGTCTCTAAGGTTTATTTTGTTTGTTCTTTTTTAAAAAGTGTAGGTATCTACATAGGTAATACCTAACCATTTTATTCTTTCTTGTACGGATACATGACATTATTAAGCCCTTTAGGTACGATCATGAAATTGGTAGAGGGCACATTAATTAAGCGTTTTCAACAAACCAATTTTCGGGAGAAACCCGAAATTTTGTACAATCTTATAGTTAAAAATTTACTTCATTTCGTCGAAATCTGAGGTTACGTTATTTATATTGCGTAAACTAGTCCTTTATTTCAATAGATGAAACTGAAAAATGTGACAGTTTCAGAAGTAACAGCCATATTTTCATCATTCTTTTTCTACTAAACTGAAAGATGCTGAGTTTAACGTGTACATTAACAGTTAATGAATGAAAGTAGTACTTATACACAAAATAAGAGACACTTCCATGTCACATATGGATACACTTTAACAAAACCACTTTTGGAAGAGCATACAGTCTAAACTTGATTGCCTTAGGAACGAAGAATGTCGTAGAGAGGGTTAAAGTTGGATCTGGCACCTTTCCGTATCGACCAGTGAAAGGGAAAACTTACCACTTAAAAGGAGAAGGGACATCTTTCGCATCTTCCATAGACCGCCTCTTTGTTAGCGACCGCCGATTAACTTCGGCCGCCTTTTTCGTACCAACTGCTGATATTGTCAATCTGACTGCAAGAACTGCAAAACGACTCCCTCCTGCTATTCCAATACTTGCAAATCACCGCAGTGAAATAAATACTAGAAAATATTAGAAACACATGTATGGTTATACATCATTCTTTAGAGTTTATTAAATCGTGGAAAAATACCATAACCTCTTAAGAAATTGAAGTTCTGGAAGGAATGTTACGCACACTACCAACCTAAGGTACCGTTATCTGAATCCTGTTTATTTGTTATACTGTACATGTGTTTATGTCTTTATAGTGTTTCATTAAGTATTTATTTATGCATTCACGAGGAAGTTTGTTATCAGTGTGTTGTTGGTCTATATGCTTCGATTTAACTATTCCGTGGAGGGAGTACCGCATGCAGTTTGATTTTCGGCTGCACGTATGTACTCGTGCGGACTGCAGCGACTATGTAGCTCAGTGGCAGAGCATTGGGTTACATAGCCGGAGGTCGGATATGTGAACCTGGGCTGAGGTAAGATTTTTTTATACCACCCCTGCCCACTTAGTTGGGTTGGACTCTGAGGGGTTGTGAAATTAACTTGAAAGTAAGAAAAAGAAAATGAAATGTGCGATTTATTTTCCCGGTATTTTTCATGGTTCTTGAACCAGCACTTGCAAGGTTGCAGGCAACCTATATAAATGTTAGTTGCGTATTGCGGCTGTGAACAATACAACAAAAACTGTGATAGAGATGGTATTTTCCTTAGATCAGTTTCGAGCATTCTTCCGGCTACTCCGAATTAGGTTTTCCTGCAGTTTTCCTAATTCGTAAGGTAAATACCGGAGTAGTATAGAACAACTTAAGACCTTCTGCAGTAGCACCTCTAAAAGCATTGTGCAAGCCTATTGAGAGCCCAGAACTAGAGAGGGATAATAAATAAAGAAATAAATAAACTATTTCCGCAACAGTCCGCTTCTTGGCTGTATCTGTTGCTTTCTTTTCGTGCGAACTGCAGTCTTGTGTCTTAGCATAAACGAGAAAGGGTTCTCTAATTAACATTTTCTCTATTTAAAATATGTTTCGCTTGAGCGATAATGGAACATTAATATTTAATATTGGCATTCTTACCACACGGTTCATACTAAATTAATTGAAGTTGATGGGGGAGTAGACCTATCCTTTTGACGTGATCTCTTTGGTACGTGCAATTTAAGACTTTACGAGTTGAACCGGAACCGTAGATGTGTTTTGTACTTGATCTGATTTATCGTATTTTCCACTTGTGTTTATGATGTCTCGTGTGTTTAGTTCTCGTTTAATTAACATCATTTCACTTGTTTACCTGATTTAATTTATCGTGCTTTCCTCTTGCATTTATTGTCTGTATTGTTTGTTTTTATGAATTTGTTTAACTGCATTTTATTCGATTACCAGATTTTTATCACACAATTTATCATGTTCCATTTTGGTATTGGCTTTGGTCGTAGTGTTTCCCCCAGAGACTGTAAGTATAGGTTAAGTCGCGATTGCAGTGCCCGATTGTGGAACATTACAAAATATTCATGATGTCCTGGATGTCTTCAGTTTTCTCGAGCGCCACCAGAAGTTGATCAACCCATCAAGCTGTCACGGAAACTACCAATAAGTTCCGATATTTTATCTCTTTTCTATTTCTTCAGATTATGATGTACTCTCTCTAGATAATTCTATCAAACGCTTCCGGGATGGAAGATATCACAAACACTCATATTGTATCATTGGAAGATAAGTACTTTCTGTGAAAAAATATTTGAAAGAACTCATTATAGAGATAAAAGTGGTAATTATACTCTTAATTTACCCTTTAAAGATGCCGAACTCTTATTAGATTTTAATGCTACATGTAATAGCGCCATAACCATATTTGCTTCGTTAGAACGACGCGACGCATGTTGAGTAAACCCGCAAATCGATCTTAGTATGGACTCTGCCTTATGCATATCGTCTTCCTAACAAGACGAAATAAGGTGCCCTCTCTTGCAGAACATTCATAGTTCTTGCAAAATGGAAAAGATCCCTCCAAATTTTTAAGAAAACTCAACGCTTTCTTCGATCAAGACGGCATACTGAGAGTGGATGGCCTCATTAGAAACTTGAACTAGAAACGTTTTCTTCACATCGGGGCCCAAAAGCTCCATTTTGTTATTATGCAACACTTGATAATGTTGATTTAACACACAAAGAACAAACCTTAAAATATGACATTCACATAGTTTGGATTTTGGGTGACCAGTCCAAATATTTAACACATCACACAGAGTTATCTTAGTTATTCTTGGTTCGATAAGAACCAAACAAACATTAATTAATGTCATAGTAAGTCAACCTTGTATAAAAACGCTAGGTGAAAGCGTAAGTACATAATATAAGAGAGGGCACAAGGTATTACCTATTAGCAGATCCCACATGTTCCGACAAGGCAAGAGCAACCGTCGACATATACTACTTGTATTTACCTAACATAAACAAAATATATAGAATCGGTAGACTCAAAGAGGTGACATAATTTTGCCTCGACTTAGCAAAAGATTGGCACAAAATCTAAAGACACATAAAATCAAGTACAACATATAAATACAGTGAGTTTTTTTTAAATGCGAACATAGGAGTTTGCATGCAATGTAATTTCCCTATGTTCGATTTTAAAAAAAACACATCAATATATGAGATGTGCGCGGTTCACATTCCCAAAACGGGCAATTTGTGTGACTATGAACAGCAACTCATAGTCTTTATGATGAAGAGCACTCGGTAAGATTCTTTTAATTAAGCCATGTGAGGCCATAGCAACTTTAGGATAAATTTTTCTAAAACTTTCGATAACTTGACTTCACATGGCACGCACTGACATCACAATTCATTGTGAACCAACCTTCAATTATTTGTAGGTCATGTGCACCTGGTATTCTACTAATTTGATCTATTCAATACATAAATGAAGAAAATAAGAAAATAAATAACGCAAACAATTACAATAAATGTTCGAAGTGCCCTCCTTGACATTCTAAGCAATAACCTAACCGATTTCGTAATTAAATTGAACGGCGGTATTTTTAAAAATGTGACAGCTGTCAATTGTATCTACTACTCATTTGAACTACTCAATAGATTGATGTTTTTTTTTAAATCGAACATAGGGAAATTACATTGCATACAAACTCCCTATGTTCGCATTTAAAAAAATTCACTGTATATTATGTATTATGTAATGAGCGCAAAAACATATATTATTTAAATTTCTAAAAATGCATAAAAAGTTTCAATCCTGTATATAAAACCAGTATTAATCCAACTGATGTGTCTTTGGGGTTTAATTAAATACACTCCATTTGTGCACAACGCTTCACTTTTGTCTAAAACGGTTTTTTTGAACTTTTCCTTAGAAAACATGGCAAGGCCGTGCAAATCCATCAAATGAGAAACTGTTTTTCTACGGCCAGTAAAGACGTTATCACTTTATCGTCTTTATCACTACAACCACAATACCTGCATTAACCATAGTGGAGTTTTTTTGCCTTAATTCTACTGGTATGGACATGGAAAATCTGTGGTTCCTAGGTATCTTCAAAAAACTAAATACAAAAGTATGTACCAACTATTCCAAGAAGGAATTGTCCTTGTACTACTGTTTTCGTTGAATTCTCTCTCCAGTCAGTTTCTGGTGGTGCGAATTGCTTTACTTTCTGCAGTCCATCACACAATTCTCTTTCTGTACGGAATGATTTGCCCTGCATTAGCGCCCCTTTGTCCTTCTTCCTCAAAATTGTAGCTAAGAAGAATATTGCTTAGACATAACCAGTTAACCAATCTTGTAGATACACAAATGCAGTTAGAAATAATGTCCCAATGTCACAATTTATTAATGTAGTCTCACGGTAAGTGTGTTTTCCCTTACACATTCATTTAATAAATGTTTCCGTTCGATCAATGTTTCCAACTTTGAAATACTGAGATATAAACATAAACGTAAAACTAAACAACTTTCGAAGTTAGAAAGGGCGAATGCATAACAACTTTTCTGATGCTTATACAATTGCGAATATGCCCCCCTTTAAATTTATAAATTGTGAAAGGCCCAATAACGAAGAAGATCTTGTTTTTATCCCCAATAAATTACGGCCACTCATAAACAGAAACTTTTTCAATTCGAAAACTAAAATTTAAAGTGGGTGTCTGCTATATTAGATTACACGTTTACTGCAAGGTATGAGAATTTTTAATTGCCAGAAAGGCGGATTAAAAAAATTAAAGTTAATCGTCAAGAAAGCGCGGTTTAGATCTTACGTCACATTAATTTAATTCCTTTAAAAACCTAATGTTGAGAATGTAACTTCTTTTATATGATTATCGTGCCACAAAGATCTAATCAGATACAACGTCTTTTATTATTCATTACATTAGTGTTCGATTTTCAATTTTCTGTTTTTAGTACCTATGTGTATGACATTAAAGTAATCTGTTATTTTATTAAATATCCGGAGAATAATGTAGGTAATTGGTAGATTATTATAGACACTCCAATAATCTAACGTCATTTCAATGAGCAGCTAACAACATGACTAATTGTTCTGTCCTCGTCGTCGACGTAATCTTTTGCTCTAGCGCTAGACAAATATCTACAGTAACCAAAATGTGGAATAATAGTAAAGCACAGTTTTTCAAGACATGCTTAAGGGTTTATACTGAATGAGACTTTTGTATCCATTATTTTGGATCTCGGAACCTCTTAACTTTTTTTTCTTAACTTTAATAAATTGCGAAGTCCAAAGAAGAGTTCGAGTCCTCTTCTCATCCCTTGGTTCTCAATCTCGTACGTGAAACCTGCGGCTTACGAGCTGAAAGGACTTAAACCTCTAAAATCAATTTAATTGAATCTGTTTAGAGATTAATAGCACTGCTTGACTCACCACGTGAACACATCTTCGGCTTTGGCAGCTGCGCCGCCTCACGTCGCTGCTTTATAAATTTTTTAGGGTTTCTCTAGCTTTTTTACAATGGTAAAAAAATCAAAGAATTATTTTTGTGAAATATTTAAATATTAATGGCAACATTTGACCCAGCAAGAGAACATAACTTCGGCTTCGGTGGCTGCGCCGCCTCACCTCGCTGCCTTACAAACTCTTTGACTTTCTTTACAATGACAAAAGATTGATGGAATTTTCTTTTCGTGAAATATTTAAATATTGATGCCATAATTGGACTCAGTCCGACGACATAGCTTCCCCTTAGATTCCAATTCCAAATGAATTCCAAAAGTGTTCTCCATTAGAATCAGTGGCTTGCCCTTGGGGGAAGGGGCATTTTTTTACTCCAGTGCAATACCTGAGGCTTCTGGAATTTTAAAAACCATGTATTGTTGGAGGCGTTCCAAAAGGTACACTTATTCGGCTAATTTTTAACAACAAATCTTTTGGGTCTGCATATCCATAACTCTTAAGATAATAATTTGTGTTAACTTTTTTTCTTTGTTTCAGGTAAGGCATTCTAGTGAATATACGAAGGCTCTACTGCTAACCGGCATGTACCTACTGACTCATTTTCCGTAAGTTTTGTAGTTTCCCATAGATTATGAATCACAGTATAACCTTACTTTTTGATTGAAACATTCGATACTATTTTTGTTGATATATGCAAAATTTGGAGAAATCCATTCTTTAATTATAGCGCGGTTTAAATCGCTGAATGTCATTAAAACCTCGGGTGCTTTTGGCAACCGATCTTTCGACTCTGCCGAGTCTGAAAATACCTGTTGCCAAAGCGAAATCTTGACCGGAAGTGAGATATTAATTGCGGCCAGTTTGGTTATTTTTTTTAATTGGGCAGTATTATGCTCCCCAGTGACATAAAACGTGACGCATATATCTAAGTACACGTTTTAAAGCATAGATAATCCAAAAATACACTTCAAATATCAAAACAATTGCATGAGTTACTCCTTGTTCCTTATTTTCCAAAGCAGAAACCTATAAAAAATTAGTAGGTGCACTCTAGTATGATGGTTCTAATCCTTTTAACTATACATATAAAGCCTGTTCATATTGATGAACTTAGAAATTGTATATTCTCCAGTTTTCCAAAAGTATTTTTAGGTTCACTTTGACAGTTCATGGAAGAGTCCTTTTCTCGCATCCAATCTTTCCTAATATACTCGCCAAGCCCAAAAACTGAAACGGATGCAACGAAAACCAAGCTTCAGTCATGTTTTTTATACATGTAATGACATAGCAGGAAATTCGTCCCGAGAACGATCTTTAGAACAGGTAACACTGTGGTGGTTTGAATTTTATCTGCTTGCACACTCGTTGCCTATCCGAAAGCGCTTCATTCTATTGCATTTTAGTTATGTTCTTTTTCACGTATACTTGCAAATTTGTAAATTCAAAAGTAAATCTTTCTAAGCCTAAAGCGACTACCTGTTACAATATACACCAGAATTTAATATAAAATTGCTCCAGGGGACACTACGAAATCAAAAAGAGAAGAAGGGAACTTATTAATTTGTAGCGCGATTTGTTTGATAACTAATCGATCGATTTAAAAAAATAAATACGGTTGTCTAATTAATGAAAACCCCTTCTCTGCCATTTGATCCATCCATTAAAAATGTGTGTGTGGGGGGGGGGGGGAGGGGGTTATCGTCTAGCACAGGATTAAAGTTGCAAGAGTTATTTTTGTATTAAAATTGGCCACTTCGATCATTTTTTGGATTTATTTTTTTTTTATTTTGTGTTACACACGTTGTTACTATGGTAATTGAGCTGGAAAGTTAACAATAAAGACAATAAAGATAAAATATCTTGACATGAAGTTAAAAGTCTCAACCTCGGCCCCAACCTCAACACCGTGTAGGGTTTTGCGAATAGTAAAATGAAGAAAGGAAAAGGAAATGTACAACCTACCACAAAACTTGAATAGATAAGAAACATTGCAGCAATGAAAAGCGGCGGAGAAACGGAAACTCGAAAGGTAAAGTGAAATTTTTACATTGGAGTTTAAATTTTGGCAGAGGGACAGTGCTCTCTCCTTCTATTTAGTAATGCCTGTGTTATTACTGTCTTACTAAAACTTTGTGGTCAACTAGAGAAGTATGATCTCTAGCATTAGGGGTGAGTGTGTGAGGTGCGAGATAAATTAGCTTTCAAATGCAGCTACTCAACGCACTAAAAGAAAATTAATTAAACGCAAGTAATCGAAAGAATTAATCTGAGGAAATTGTCGACATCGCATTATTTAACACGATCCCAACTTATACAAAAAGACAATTTGTCATAAAGGCGAAGTTTCGAGAATGAAAATGTTCGAACAAAGGATTAGGCGGAAGGCGCGTTTATAGGCCGAGAAAATTTTAGAGTGCAAATTACATCGAGTTTGATTATAAAAGTGAAGAGGAAAACCGCAACCCGGTACTTAATACTAATTTATTATGGCAGCCGAAGCTTTATTAACTGAGTAGAATTTCTAATTTTGAACTTTTTTCTACCATTCACAAATGAAGCTTTATGGTAATACGATTAATTAGTAAAGTGGGAGCTGAGGATGGTTCCTGCAATTGGGGACGTAACAAAGCTTTCGCGATATATAAATTGGTCCACAAAAGAATGATAATCTGCGCGTATCTGTCTTGAAGGAGGCGGTTTCATAAGCAGTAGCAGTAAAGCCGGTGTACGAGTTAAATATCGGAGCACATTCCCTGCCAGTCTTTGAACGACTTCCGTGCTCGCGTTGCGTGTATTAATATCGATTCAACCACCAACCCTTTAACCTGGGTTATAATCCTCCACGTGTTTCGTGCATTTCATCCCGTTAAGAAGAAAAACCACCCGTTTCGTGTTACAGTTATGCATTTTCGCAAACACCAAACTAGGATGTTAGTGAGTGATTTATGAAAAAAAAAAATTAAATGGAGCTTTAATGTACGAAATGGTAAAGATATGTTTATTGTCGGAAATATGTGCAGCCAGTACTTTTTTGTTCAAACCAATAAATATTCCGACTAAAAGCACTATGGGCTAACAATTTGCCAAGTGTAATTGACCGATTTGTACTCGTCGCTTTTTACCCAAATTAATTGAAAATCGAAGTGTGCCATGATTACTTATATACTTTCTCTTGAACTGAATGATTTATTAATCATTTTTGCCGTAGTATCACGTGCTCTGTTAACCTTATTTAAGGTTGCCATTTTTCTTAATTTTACAAATACCGTTAATGGGTTTTTGATGCTGAACTACATCTCTGACAAGAGACAACACATGACTATAATAATGTTGCCAGACTTCTTGCAAATCTGTATGCGAACTTTTACAACCCTTTCCGCGACATATAAAATTTTGATAAAAAGTTTGACGCATATCTTTTATTTTTCATTTGCAAGTCAAATACATTCTGTACTAGAAAAAGTCCGCTTGAAATTGCGATAAAGCCCAAATTTAATTTTAATCCCCGAAATTTAAATGTACAATTAGCTGAATGAGCAAAATCGAATAAACGAATACGGTGAATTAATACTTAAGCAAAACGTCGACTTTTGTTGTTTTCATTCTTTCGTAATTTCGGAAGCGGCGCACGTAGAAGGGAAATTTTCAAATATTGTGTGGAACGCTGTCAGTTCACGAGAAAACCTTTAAAAGAGCATTTTCGGGTTGATCTAAAGCTTTTATACAAGCCCGAATTCTTTATATCTTGCCATAAACACGAGTATGTACGGCAGTTTATTCATGTTTTCAGAGACGATCAACAGAATCGAAAGGACAGTCCTGTTTTTGTGCTCTTAAAAAGAAATTTTAGCAGTTTTCGCTAAAATTGTTGCAATACTGAATCGGAAAAGTAAAATTTTTACTTGGAGATAAAGCATTTTATGTCAATTGTTTGCACCCCTATTAAGTTGCGTTCTGAAATAAGCACAGAAAGAAAACTAGCCTAATTTAGATTGCGAAATAACGCAGGTTTCGATTGAAAAAATAAGAAATTTGTTGTCTCTTTATTTAGGGTTGAATGGAATGTGCCCTAAATGAGGGGTTTAATGTCCATTGACTATAAGATATTATTACCGGAAAAAGCAAGCATACTCATACTGAATTTTTATATATTTTTTTAGTATAGACTCGCACCCCTGCTCGCACCTCTAACAGATCTCCAGTTTTGAACGAATTTTAGTAACAGTTCCGTGTATTTAAATGCAATAGTCACAGCCCAAGAAATGAGGGTCAAATTCTCAAGGCCCATAATTCTTTCTGAACTTTTCTTTGTTACAAGTCGCAATTCATCCATGATTCTATTTTACTGTTCTAGATGGATTTTTAAAAGGTTCTGCATAATCACTACTTCAAATTTAAAATTTCAAGAACACTACTTCTAGTGTTAAACAAGTTTAAATTTGAATTTTCAGTTTAAATTCTAACAGCAAGCGAGTTTCCCAGTTGAATGTGGAATATCTTGCAAAGTAAATGGTAATTTGAAAAAATTACGGTTTTAATTAATATATAGGGAAGGATTTTTGAAGGTACTAATGCTATTGGTTGCTGGAATTTTTAGTGCGCTAGTTTTATCTTTGAAGATATATCCTCTTCATACCTAAAGTTGACGTGTCTTGTAGTATTTTTAGAATGTATTCCAGAAAGTCCCTGTTAAGATCCTAAATATGTGATTGTGAGGGACGTTTGCACAACAAAAGAGTAACATGACTTGAGAGCAAGTCTCCCAAAAAGTTTGATAGAGTAAATCTACTCTCCGAATACAATTTATAAATTTCATTACTTAGTCCAGGCAAATTGGACTTTTTACAAAAGAAAATTGCTAATGGATCTTCGCCAAGTGGATATGTTAAAATGGTCTATAACAAATACAAAAAAAAATAAATACATAAGCGGGAGAGTGGGACCTTTGGGAGGGTGAAAATCGTATTACTGCAATTTCCGGTAAAAGTTGAGAATACAGAGACAACAGTGTTCAATGGAAAAGTTGTAGATCGTGAAAAACTTTTTTTGCAGTCACTTTCTCACATAACCTCAAAATATCCGAAAAATTCGCGGAAAAACTGTATTTTCTGCTTTTTATTCTTCATTTCCGGAAAAATGATATTTTTTAACGAGACTTGGTTGAAATATGCTAGTTTATGATTCAATTAACTACAAATTTTTTCAATATAATAAATATGGAGGTTTCCGAAATATTCGTTTAATTCGACCAAAAACTTCTTTTTTCACATGAAAATTGTCCTTCAAAAGTTTATTGTCTATACTCTTTCATGAAATAAAAAGAAATTATAGTCCCTATTGAAGAAGATGCCCACAAAACGAAAGAACTCCAAAAACGACGTCAGTAACATTATTTATGTGTTTGAACAGAAACTTTCTTTCTTTATAGTATTATCATAAACATTTACAGCTCATAATAGTGCTTCATATGAATACGAAAAATATCAATCTTTTCCAATTTTTGCGCATTTTTGCAAATTTATTTGTAAAAAGGTAGCTTTTAATCTGACTTTGGCTGGCCGGCTGGCTAGCAGCTAATACACGTCCGTGGAAGAACGCTTGTAGAAAGATGAGGAGTGTACGTGTACCTACTACCTACCAGGGTCGTCTAATTAACAACTTTAGGGAAGGGGCTACATGATGTGGGGTAGGCGACATCTGGGCGCCATCTCAGAGCGTGTTATACTAACATGGTGATTTTTCAGTTTTTTTCCCATCCTCTTCTACAGTTTTCGTCCCATTGTTTTCCAACTGATGTTGTTAGGCGAAATCGCCTACCTTCCAGTGAGATTTTTTTCACTCGTTTTAAAGTTTCGTAAAAGCGAACTGCCCCAAAAATTAAATACTATTTTGTGGAGGGATTTACTACACCTGCGCATCTATATGACTGTGGGGGCGTCAGAAGTGGCAAATAGAATACTGATCTGCCACATAAAATTGCGCTGAAATTCCTTCGGTCTCACACGAGGATTATGATAATTTTTTTATTCGAACTTAATTAGTTCACTTAGGTTTCATAATTGTTGGTAGATGTATGAACAATTTGGTATCAAATTTGGTAGGTACGTAAAAACCAATTTGTTTTCAAATTATTTTATTTTTTTTATTTTATCAAAGTGAAAACTTATCGTATGCAATAATGAATTTTGACGCATCGCAATATACTTGTGGATACGGGTATGTTTCAATTTTAAATATCATTATTAAGATTAACGCAGCCATTGTTTTTTACTTTCCTCACGAGAGAGGAAAATTACATTTCCCTCATCATTTTTCGTCGAAAGTAATTGTTTCTACAGTAGCTTCAGAAAAATACACTTACACATCCCCGGGATGCTAAATAAAAAATTTAAAAACCCCCACAAAAGATTATAAGGAGCACATAAATTTGTTCCCCGGATAAACCCGCGTAAATCGACCTCTTCAGGAATATAAAAAAAAACCTCTAGCAAAAATGGTTTAATTAGTTGAAATTTGAGTTATTCAGGTAATAAATGACATACACAAGAAACAGACGCTTGAATTAATTGTCGTAAACCGTTTTACCGGTAGCCGATATGTTCATAATGTTATGAGCCCCTCGTATAAACAAATTACATGCACAACTGTGATTATATACTTGTCAATAATTTGTCGCAACGGATTGTTTTGCACAAACAAGCGTTCGCTCGGTTTTGTATACATAGGTAAGAATAGTGGAGATTGCTCCTCTCATGCTCTATCTCGACGGTTTCTAGAGGCGGCGTGTTAACGCGCTTTATTTCTCATTTATCAGTTTTGTTCCTACACCGAAAAATTTGTAAATTTGACAAAAAGTCCAAAACGACGATCATAAAATCAAATCTGGGTCACATTAAAGTTCTTTTTAAATATTGTTGAAGTTCCATTCTAATTATGCAGGCTGTTTCACGGAAATCGTTATCTAATAGTATTTAGACTTCCATTAATACTTAAATCTGAAAATTTGCATACCAACATAGATTTTCATGACGAATCGAAAGAAAATTTCATGATTGTTTCTCTTCCGGATAGCAACTTTGTTATTTTAAATAGAACACGCTATGTTTTGTTGCATTTTCGAAATCTACATGAAAATTACGTCGTTTGATGCCACATTTCCCTATTTTGACCTTTGACTGCTTTTCTTTATCGCCTGTACCTATGGCTCCGTTGACTTGAATTTCAAAAAATCTTCCAAAACCAGCAATTCTGACGTGATGCTACATGCGAATGATTTCAATTTTGTCGCTTGTCTACAGGGCGTTTTAAAACAAATGATCAAATTTGATAGCTTCAAGCTTTAAAAAGATGCTTTTTTAAATGAAACCAGCTTTATTTTTTTTGCACTTTCAAATGTGGAAAAAAATCTACATCGATCACATTCCCTATACCTATCTGTTATGCTTTTCGTTTTATTTAAGATTTTCTAAAAAACCCAGTTTCTGCAAAATTAAGAAATAAATTATGGAATACGTAAAATTTAACTCTATTTTCACATCATATATTTCATCTTCTTAGGAGGGGCGGTTACCACTTTAAAAATGTTTGATGTTTATTATTTTTACTTCTGCTTCTACCTCAAAAGTTTTCCGCCACTACTCGTTTACCGATGGCAAGAGAATTACAAATTCGAATAAGGGACATCGGGATCAAACTTACTGATACCTTAGGACCCGCATGAGTTTTCAGCAGTGGCTACGATGGGAGCATATGGATGGGAGTATAGTGAGTGTCACAGTTTGGATGCACTTGATTTTTTACTTATGGTATTATGCCAAGGTAAATATTTATGAACTTGCCTTTAAGATTAAAAGCCAACATAAAATTAGGGGCAACGTACAAGGCGATAAATTAACAATGAGGCATACAGTGTCCTTTCTGTGAAATTCTAAGCTAGGTCGGGAAAGGAACTGTTAATAAATTTTATTCTACAAAATTATCCAACAATGTATCAAAGTCTCCCTCGAACAGGATATATTCGTATCCCTATGTACGTATTTTGGAATTTACGTAACTCATGTATAAGGGAAGGATTTAAGCGTTAACAAAGACCCCTATTGGGAACATGAAGGTGAATGCAATAATACACACAAAATTGAACAGAATTGTGAGCTTTAAAACAGACTGAGGTATTAAGTACGTACTAGCTTTTCTACCCTTGTAGTTTAGCTTCCCAAAAGCACCACTTTGCTAAAGTATTTAAAATTAGGTGACAATTAGCACAAAATCGTTGATTTCTGGCGGATCTCACTAGTTGCTGAATGTACTTTCGCAGATAACTGTTTGAAATATATTACTTCTCTACGCAAAGTCCGTGTGTCGCTCTAAGGGGTTTCTTAATAATGCATAAGCGATAGTTCGGAAAGGATGGTAAACTTTTACTTTAAATTTCGTAAGTGCGAGCTGATCTTTCAATATGTTTTAGCTTACCGCCTCGGGACAAGTAAGCCCACATTCTGTGTATATCTTGAGATCTCTTCGTGATGAAAGGTCGCTTCTCATACGTGCGTGACCTTAATATGAAAATTTGGTATTTCATGTCAATTATCACAATATAATTAAGACAGCCAACGAAACTATTACCTCATTCGATCTTTTTAGCATTGATTTAATTATTATGCACTTAATTTTCTGTAATTTTTATGTAATTTAAACTCGTTGCTCGTGTTTTAAAGACTAAATTATACACTTGTCTCTTATTATACTATTGTTTATACCTGCATCAGAATCCCCGTTTAAAAAAACAGACGATTAAAGCAAGGTTTCTACGTAAAAAATCTCCTCAGGTCGCTTTCTGCAAATGAAAAAGGTGTCTTTGGCTGGTATTCTTTCTTGGTACCATCAATACCACTTACTGAAAAAGGTAATTTAAACAGTTGATGTTCCTTGGCCGAATAATGACCAAAAATCCTACTTGTCCCTAGTAAAAGACTCGCAACTGCTTTATTCCTTGAGATATCAACTCAAGTAAATAAGTCGCAGATAGCTGATATGTTAACACTACGTGCTCTCATCCCTCCCTCGTCTTTTCGAAAAAAATTCATTAGCCAAAAATTAAGTCGGTTTTAAGCCTTAAGGCGAGGAACATTAGCTTGAATTGATCAGTACAAAGTGACATGGTGGACTATTTATGAGTACAAAGGAAAATAAGACATTTATATTTCTGATGTTTAAAATATGCGATATGTGTGCTTTTACTAGAAGAATCCTTGGTTAAAATTTCAAAAAGTATCTCCATAAGTTAATAGTCAAGATTATTCTTGTCTCAATCGACAGAGCTATTAGCTACCGAGTGCAAAAAGAACGAACTAAACATCTTGAAAGCCGTAGCGTACGGGCGGATGGAGAAAGTGGTAATATAAGCGCCTTCCAACATGAGTTGAAAATTCGCTAAAAACTTACGGCGTTCAGAAGGGGACCATTTCCTTTTAATGAATTAAAGGAAGGCCCGAGGACGAGTCCGTGGCCCTTTTTGGATTCTACGCACCCGATTTACCATAAAATGAATTTTTAAATGTTGTTTTTCGACGAAAATACTTGAACCTTTTTTAAGAAGAGCGTATAAAGAGCTTTTATAAGTTCCAAAGCTCCAAAACCTTTCAAGAGCCTGCAGGATGTCTTAGAGGCTTTGAGAGTCTTAAAAACAATAGAGGTCTAATGGCATTAATAATACGCTTTAAAGGTATTAAAGAGCTTTGTCCTGAAGAGAGCCTTTATTGGGCCTTAGAAGTTTTTCTGGGTTTTTAGAAATCTCTAGGAGGCTTTAAATGTCGTAAACGTCTGCCAAGAACAGCAAACGAAATTTCAAGTGGTCCAGAACCTTTTAGAGCTCTTGAGGTCTCTTCCCTCTTTAACAACCGGACGTTTAAAAACGTTTATTTTTGAGAAATTTTGAAAGCTAAAGTTTTAAAGTTTAAGAGACTGAAAAGTCAGCTTTGAAAAACCTTAAGACTTTTAAGGAACCTTTATGAGCCCTCAACGACATGCGAAAGCTTTAAGAGTTCATAACGGTCTCCTAAGTCTCGAGGAGGCTTATTAACTAAAACCAATCTAAATGATTTAAAGTCTTTACGAAAGTCTTTACAAAAACCTACCTAGCTCTTTCCCTTCACTTATTAACGGCACAAAACATCTCCCCAGCACAGAGGAGAGATTCGACTCTGCTCTCAGTTAACCTGTTAACTTCTAACAGATAGTGGTTCAATTAATCAAATTAAACAAAACAAATTAAACTCCAAACTGATCTGCAAAATTCTGAATAATTAAAATGGACCTTGGGGTAAGCATCCAATAACAACACAGGTAAACTAGAAAAGACGTTGTGAATGAAACACACGGAGATTAATGTGAAAATTACATAAGTGCGATTTAATCGTAACACACAAAAGGAAAATGGTACACAAGCACAAACAATTATTACAAATAGACTAAAATTAAGACATTACTTGTGGAATTGTAATCCAAATAAAAGGTATCCGTACACAGTACACGAAAATTACAATTTTCAATGAAAACACTTTACACTAACGACAGGGTAATCGCAGCATCTTCTCTTCGGGACAATCATAAGGAGAAAAATAAGTGAATTTGACCCTTTAGAATTTTAAATGCCTCTATACTAGCTCAAGTGTAACTGTTAAATCTTTTCAGCGCAAATAATGTCATCAATCAAAATTGGCATATTAAATATAAAAATTGATCACTGAAATGGCGCATTTAGACTATATAATACTATTAATTTTTAATTTATTTGCAATAACAAAATACCACACAAAATAAATAGGTAATTTAGCCCGAGTTTAGTGAGGACTATAAAGACAAAATCAACAAAACTGCCTTAAATTTCGAAATTAAATAAGGTACGCTTTACCATGCGATACTGATAATATATTTGTCTATCATATGTTCATTATATACCTGTTTTATTTGCATTTATTATTATAACAATATATATAATAGATAATTATGCAAATTAGTGAAATCTACTTATTCTATTAAGTACGTTGTATATAATCATATTGCCATATAGTATGCATATAAGGGTATTATTGTATGCTAATTTTGCATTTAAATAAAGACATTATGAGTAATGACAACGGCACATGAACGAACATTAGCATCAAAACGCTTTTGATCTTCGCGAACCATTGTTTTTTTTCACAACTTTACAAATTAATTTTATGTCGTAGCTTTTCTCGCAAAGTTTGTGAACTTGTTAAAATTTTTACTGGCTGGCCAACTTCTCCGGAATTTGATTTTTTTCTACTGCTCCTGGTAGTATCTGTGTTATTAATAACCCTATAATTTTATTCGTGTTATAAGCATTTCGGCAGAAAAGCTGTGGTTATCAATAGGCGTCTTCCTTTTTTATGCACTTGTTAGGATTGTTTGTGTACAATAAACATAAATTCAGCTCTGATGGAAGAAGATCAAATCGCTTCTTGTATGACGCGGTCAGATAAGCCGCACTAGCTTACAATTATCACAATTTCCCCCTAAACTGCTTATCGAATACTTGATTTCTTTTGAAAATTCATCCAAATTCCGTTTGCAGTTTGTAACTCAAACGCTTTGGGATCCATTGGTAAGGGTTCCGAATCGGTAATATCGTTCACACTTATGTGAAAATCTTTCAAAATCTTTGCCACCACAATTTTAGCTTCCATGAATGCGAATCGTTGACCTGAATGGTAATAATAACACTTGGGGTAACAGTTTAACTTATATTACCCATGCAGGAACGAGGACCAGCTCCGAACGGAATATAGGCGCATGGATGCCGTGAGTGTCCTTCAGCAAATCTTTCCGGTAGAAATTTTTCAGGATCGGGGTATAGATTCGGATCACTGTGGATTCCTAAAGTTGAAATATACACGTTATCTCCCCTGTTTAAGGTTAGGGAAGTTCCGACAACTCTGTATTCCTTAGTGCATTGTCTTCGTATCATTGTGGACGCTGGATACTTTCGCAATGTTTCTGGTAGAGTACAATAGATAAGCTTTACTTAAGGATTAAAATAATGTTTACCTTTAGGACACTGATCTAAAAACCTCATGTGACCAATAGCATTAGGTAACTTTGATTCATCGCTAACTCGTAGAGGCAAAATATGATTATGGACGCGATAGTTCTATAACCAGCGATAAAAAAAATCCACCAGTTAGCCGCTACGTTTTCTAGAGCCAAGTCATCGCTTTCGGCTTGTAACATACGCATAAAATTGTATTCTTCATGACGCCCTTCTTGCAGAATTGCAGCAACTTTACTTAAAAACAAATTCTTTTTTTTATCGGACATTGTCTTGATTTTTGTCCCCAATACCATATTCGGCAACAAAATTACCATTAATCGCATAAATGCCTCTGACGTGGAAAGCTTCCAAAATCCTTCGGCGTACTGCAAAATTTCCTCTCGATTCTTCTCCATAAACTCGCTTGTAGTTTCAAATAAGCAGCAAGCAATAACGTCGAGGGCTATTCTGCTAACGAATCCATCTATTTCAATCGGTTGAGGCATTTCGTGTAGCTGGTCTGTAAACCTCTCCACACATTTCGACACCTTATCATATAGCAGTTTAACCTTCAGAGTTCCAAAAAGGGGCGCGTATTTTGTACGGTTCTCCTTCCATCTTGCGCCGTCAATTGATACCAAGTGTAGCGAAAGTGGCTCCTCGTCATTTCGATAAAATACTCGATCTTGAAAGTGATCGAAGTCGGTCATCATTATTTTGCGTACCAAATCCAAATCACACAGAATGAGAATAGGGGTTGTAAATATGTAGTAACCGAAAAATGGTAGTTGCCGTTGTCGGCAATGCTTGTAAACGTTTTTTAATGCTATACCAACGTGCTCTCTTTGGAGTATTACCGATTTTGCATTACCAAAGAAAAACTGTGGCTCTAGTGTCGCAACCCCTCTTCTTTTCCAATATTTTAAGCAATGATAATTAACATAGAAGTAAATGGCGAGAACGATGGACGTTAGATAGATGTAAATCAACATTATGTTTTTTCACCTCGGTTATGGAGCACCTAGAAAGACAGAAAATTTCATTTCCTTTGGATTTTGTGATACTAATGCTGTATAGAGTAAACTAAAAATAAATTTTGATAGCCAATTTAAGAGTATTTTAAAAGACCTACATTTTCTGCAAGGAAAAGACGGATGGATGAACGGACAAAACCATCACATTTCTTTAGAAAAATTCCTCCAAAAGGAGAATAATTCTAAATTACACTCCAGATTACACTTTATTGAACTTTTATGAAAATTAAAAAACGCATCCATTAAGTAAACCTATATAGATTTCCATAACGGGGTGCAACATTTTTTACAGGCATAACAAATTTTTTGTATAAGTCTATCTTTGTGCTTCAAAACGTTAAAAACAACTTTACAAATTCCTTCCCTTCCCTTTAAAAGTCGATATTAAGCACTAATTTATTTGTTACTGAATACCATTAGAAAATGTATCTATACCTAATTCACTTCTCAACATTAGATATAGATCAAAACTAACAAAACTAAAATAGTGATGGATTTGCGGTTTTCAAAATAGTAACAACTTTTTTGGAATTAATTTGAAAATGAATAACAAAATGCTTCTATTACAATTGCCATTTTATGGTTATATTGTTCTTCATTAAACTGTAAACAATTAAACTAGACTGAAAATAAAGCTTTGTTAAAAAAAATGTAACTTGTAAAAAAGCTCTACATTATTTATATTCAAATGGAAAATTCGCATTTGAAAATGATGTAAAAAAAGTTACATCCGTACCGAATCGAAATTTTGCTCTTCTGACAATAACTGGCAATATCGAAACTGTACCGATATATTAATTTTTAATTTATTTACTTAATTAAAAATGGGGTTAAGTGTACTTTGTAATTCGGTTTTCGCGTTATTTCAATGCACTCAGTTGTTGTTGTTTCGAATGACTATTTATTAACAAAGAGGTCAAAGATAAGGATAAATGAATAAAAATAGCAGAGATCTTCCTCAAGCATGAACAATACCCTGAGCTTTGCCTACTGATGAATTTTTTTGAAATCTGCAGGGTATGGTTGGTAAAGCGGCAGTTTCTAGTGTTGCCGCGAGACGAGATGAGACGAGACCAAGTCAAAGTCTCGTCTCGGCTTGGTTCAGTCTCGTCTCGTCTCGTCTCGTTTGGTCTCGCCACACTATCCAAAAATGGTATAGAGCATGTAAAAGGCACTACGAAGGCATGACAAGTAAACAATAATGACCTTCCTTATCTATCTGCTAATCACGAAACGATTTTTTCTGTTATGCGTTTTTTAAGGACTTTCTCTAGCATTCTGCAGCTAAAAAATACTAGCTTTCATAAAATACATTTGGTAATGTAACTAGGTAGGAAAGTCTCACTAAATTCTTCGTTATTTAAAACTTAAAGATGATATGCCCATGTTATTTTGTAAAATCGTACTTTTATGGTCTACTACGCGGTAATATGTAACTGCCTATGCCTGCAGTGACTGTATTAGGATATGTCATATGCCCGCAAGATACATGTTACCTAAAGCAGCAGCTTTATTCACAGAATATCGCAAGAACCTTTATCAAAGTATAGCATTTTAGCCCCAATATGGCGACCGGAACCTGCGACCAATCAAAAACGAGATACCCGGTTGTCACCACTGTTCTAAATTGAGTCACTGCACCTATACCTAGAAACGGTTGGACTTAATGCCATAAACTTGTGAAAATACAATAAGAGCCAACTGCTTTTAATATAAAGCAATCCGCGAGATCTATTATAACCAATTTTTGTTTTTCCAGCATAGACAATTACCATTATTTGAGTAAGCTGGTATAGATAAGAGTACAGGTTTGATAATCACTTGCCCGCAAAAACTCGTAGTTAGTCTCGTCTCATCTCGAAAATTCGATCAGTTTCTACTAAAATATAAGGGTGAATTTAATGTAGAACAAAATAACTCGCAAACACTCTGTTTATTTGTAAAAAAAACCATGTAAGTGCAATTTCATTACATCGTCAAAACTAACATAATCATAATCATAATCAGAATCTTTATTGATCCAATATATCCATTTTTGAATGTAGGACAAGTCAGACATCACGTTACAATAAAACTGCTAAAAACTGCATCGTAAGCTTAGGGCACATATACATTAAATAAATAGATAAAAGATAAAGATAAAATCACATAAAAACATTGGAACATATAGTATTAAAATTACAAACGTACAAACTACATAAAATATATAAAAAGTAATTAACAAGCTAAGTTTATAAATAGAATGTTTTGTTTATTGATCAATTAAATATTCTTGTGTGGTGTAAAATGCTTTTGATGTAAGAAGATTTTTGACTGTAGTTTTAAATTGTTTCAGAGGTAGCTGTTTAGTTGCATTGTCCAGTTTGTTATAAAACTTTATTCCACAATAAAGTGTCGTGCTTTCATAACTACTTTTTTTATGACGAGGTACAGGTAACTGGTTTCTCCTTGTATTATACCCATTAATATCTTTTGGATTAACAGTGTTGTTTAAGATATATTTTTTGACTAGACATAAAATTTTATATATGAAAATACAAGGAACAGTTAAAATCTTATGCTTAATGAAAATAGGCTTACACGCATTCAATGGACCATAACATTGTCACATGCAGATTGTAGAGGGGTGTATTCGTCCTCATTGTCCGATATATTGTTGATTTAAACTGCCTTAATAATCCGCAACTTTTTATTGTTTTTATTGCTAGCAAGTTATAGTAAAATGGGCAGGTACATTTTATTCTTGTTCCGCATATCATGGAACTGAATATCCGTTACCTAAGCGGTAAACGCAACTTACGGAAACTGCTCGCTAGTTATAGTCCTATGTAGGTAAGAATTATCCTTTGAATGAATAGCTTTGAAATAGCGCAGGTTATCAATAGTAACTGGGTAAGAATATTCCTGCATATAAATCGTATTGCGTAAACAGTGGTTTTTGGCTATGAATTACAGTGTGCATTTGCAATGTGGCTTTAGAAAGAATTATAGCACTGCTACTGCACTTGCGACAGTTACTCAAGATGTGCTTATGGCAAGGGATCGTGGTTTATTGTCTGTAATTGTTCTCCTCGATTATTCAAAAGCCTTCGACACGATTGATCATAATTTACTTTGTTCAATTTTGTGTTACATTGGATTCAATAGAAACGCATGAGATAATTTCTTCTTATTTACAAAATCGGTACCTACGATTCGTGTTAACCAGAAACTTTCAAGTAAGTCTAATATACTTAAAGGAGTTCCTCAAGGATCCGTACTTGGACCCTTATTATTTATTATTTATACTTCGGATATCCTAAGGTGCGTTTCAAGTTGCAATATTGTGGCATACGCTGATGACATACAATTTATTATACTCTTCTTTTGAGAAGGTTAATGCATCTACCGCGTTAAATAATTTAAACCAGGACTTACTCAGAATAAATCAGCGTTCTAACGATTTCAATCTTGTACTTAATCCTAGTAAATGTTGCTCTATATTTTTTGGTAAGAAAACAGATATTGAATATATGAAAACTAATTGTGGTGTGTATATAAATAATATTTTAATACCTGATACTGAAACAGTACCTAAATAATTTGGGACTAACACTTGATAATCAACTTCGGTTTAGAGCTCATGTGAGCAAAATGATTCAAAATGAGTTCTTGTCATTAAAATGTATATACAGGGTGACAATTTGAAAACTTACCACCCCCCATATCTTAGTAAATAAACGAGATATTTAAAAAAATCAAAATCCGTTTTGGTAATTCGGAGGGGGAATCACAATGACATAGTTGGCGACGCACCCCCTCCAAGTTTAGAGCTCAACATGTGACTTTTGGTTTTGCAATATATGACCGGTTCTGTCTTTAACGTCTAGATATAGTACTGAAAAAGTTGCTCATTCGACATACTCAAATAGCACGAACCTAAATTAAAAAAGTTAACTATGCTGCGCGCTTTCATGGCGTTTGGGAGAGAGCGTTTAGAGATAGAGTTAATAAGGAGTAACGGCCCGTGGTCTAGATTGGTGTACTAGCAGACGTATTCAAAGGATGCAAAATTCCTGTATCCGTTTGGTGTATGGAGTGAGAAAGATTCATCACATTTCACATAAATTTCAGGAATCTGGGTGGTTAAACATGGCAAATAGAAGGCACTTGCATAGGGGTACATTTGTACACAAATTCTTAAACAACAATAGTACATGTAAGTTGAAGTCCAAATTCAATTTAAGACACAGTACTCACTCGCACAATACTAGGCATAATGCACAATTTACAATTCCACAGCACCGGACCGCTTTGTATAAAAGATCATTTATTTATAATGCCGTGAAATTAGTTAATTTATTTATTGATGAGTTTAAGATATTTAATATCAATAAGTTCAAATTTAAACTTAAACAATACTTTTTGAATTTGCAGCGTGTGAATCACTACCTAGCCACACTTGAGATAATTCATTCCTTTATCTTTTTGATATGTGGTCCTCAGTACAAATCTTCTAGGCTATGATGGTCCTAGGTATAACACGCTCACGTATGAACCAGATACGACCCGTCATGTTTACAAGCTTTTCACATAAAATTGATCAACATTTTCTTTTTTGCACACTAATACAGTGATCAGCATTTATTACAATTACTTCTGTATAAATCATTTATATATTTACAAATAAATGAATTAATTTACTTAATTCATTAATTAATTTATTGTTGATATTATTAAATTAGAAAAAGCCCAATGACATCTTTGAAAATTGATGCGACATTTACCTACATTCCGTTAGTGTCTTCAATTTAAAAAAATTATTGAATTTGAAAGTCTGCTTTTTCATCGATCATAATTATACGCCAGGTGGAATATTATTAATTCCACTCGTAAAGGTAACGAACCCGTAAGTACAAAAATGTGCATAACACAAAATCATCAGCAAATAACTGGAGAATTACTTGCAAACAGTTTCAATAACTACTTTATTTCAAGTACAAACAACTTAAAAAATAAATTTAGTCATAAAGTTGATAGAGAATATATCAAAAAACTTATTCCCATAAATAGTAAAACATTCTTTTTAAGCCCAGTTTGCAAAGACGACGTAAAAGGTGCTATAAAAAAACTTTCAAACTCTAGCGCTTCTGGTTTCTGGTTTTCTTCAAACAGACTAATAAAAACTTGTGAAGATAGTCTTTTAAGTCCTCTTACTCATATAATAAATTTAACTTTTAAATTCTCTAAATTTCCAACCAAATTAAAACACGCAGTAGTACTTCCCTTCTTTAAGAAAGACGATAAAAGTGAATTTCAAAATTACAGACCCATCACCTTAGTTTCTTCTTTCTCAAAAATTATTGAAATCATTGTTAATGATAAATTAATGGCGTTTTTCGTAACAAATAACCTTCTTAATGATAATCAGCACGGCTTTATGCGAAACAAAAGCGTAGAAACATCACTCTTCGCATTTATCAACAAAATAGTCGAAACTATTGATAATAAATGTATTGCGTTAGGAGTTTTCATAGACATGAGCAAGGCTTTCGATTGCGTAGACCATACAATTCTGTTGGAAAAACTGGAAAGATACGGTATACGGGGTGCGTGTTTGGAGTGGTTTCAATCATATTTAGAGAATAGATACCAAACAGTACGATTAACTGAAAACAATGAAATTGTCCTATCAAATAGATTGAAAGTTAAAATGGGCGTGCCTCAAGGGAGTGTATTGGGACCAACACTGTTCATTATATACGTAAACGATCTGCTAAATCTTTTTACTTACAACTCTAACATTCACATCACTACGTATGCGGACGACAATAATATATTAATTACCTGTCCAAAAAGTAGCGATATCCAACCAATTCTTAGTACAACTATGGATACTGTTTAAGAAAGGATGGAAACTAATAAATTGTGTCTAAATATAAACAAGACAAAATGCGTTCCTTTTGTTACAGCTAGATCTAAACATGACTTACCCCAATACATTATCTATAAGGACTCGAGGATTGAACTAGAGCAAAATACAAAAACATTAGGCATAAATTTAAATGAAAACCTTAAATGGGACCATTATATAGATAACTTATGTAAGAAACTATCGTCGTCCATTTTTTGCAATAAAATCCCTAGCACACAAATGCTCTAGTACAACCCTCAGAACATTATATTTTGCTTGTTTTGAAAGTCATATAACATTTGCAATAATTCAGTGGGGGCAATCTCCCAACCTATTAATTTGACTGTTGACATATTTTCCATTTATATATGCGGACTCACTGCATGTACTGTATATATAGTGAAAATAAAAATATACTCTACTCTACTCTACTCTACTCTATTCTACTCTACTCTACTCTACTCTACTCTACTCTACTCTACGAGTATGTTCCTGCCAAATGCGCTATTATCTGAACTTAATAAAATTAAAAAAAAAATTGTTTAATTAATCTTGTCAATCATTAAATTTTTAAATTATTATCAACAACAGAATACCAACCACAAAAAATAATTTAGCTCTAGTTTAGTGAGGACTAATCTCAAAATCAACAAAATTCCCTAAATTTCGAAATTGAATAAAGCAAAGTAACCAGGCGATACTAATGATATATTGGAACAAGTGTTCATTATAATATACCTAGCTGTTTTATTTTCATTTATTTCCATAACAATATATCTAATAGCTGATCATAATGCAACCTAAATTTTTATTATTAGTAAAGTATGAGAATATTGCAATGTAGTGTATAAAGGTATTATTATATGGTAATTTTGCATTTAAATAAACACATTATAAGTAATCACAGCTGCACATGAATCATTGGTTTTTTAAACAATTTTACAAATTGATTTTATGTCGCAGCTTTTCTCACATAGGTTTTGAAAGAGGGATCATGCCAGAGTCAACAAAAATGTTGAAACTGCTATACTTTTTATTCATTGGCCAACTTCTTCTTTGGAACTTGATTTTTTTACTACTGTTTCGGGTAATATATGTCTTATTTAGGGACCATACAATTTTATTCATGATATACTCGATTCAGCAGAGAAACTGTGGCTATCGGTCTTGCTTTGCATACGTATTTGTTGGGAATGTTTGTTTGCAATAAACATAAACTGATTTGAAAAATATAAAAATGATGTAAGGAAGCAGTGGGTCGTTCTAAACGATGTTTTGGGGGATAATAAAGTAAAATGCGAAACGGAATACATTGTATCTACTGATGGCCTTGTAGTCACAGAACCTGAAGATGCTTCAGAAGCTTTCAATGGTTTTTTTGTTTCTGTAGTTGAAAAAATCCGCGAATCCTCCAACTTGTCATTTACAAACAGTGCCGAGTGCTACCATTTATTTCCAACTACATCGGTTGAGAAATCTTTCTTCTGTAGCCCCACTTGTAGACAGGAGGTAGAAAGTGTCATAAAAGTCCTAAAATGTAATAAAAGTCCGGAAATTGATGGTATATCGGTGAATACTGTGAAAAATGTCAGCGATATCATTTCGCCAATCATTTCTGATTTTTTTAATTCTAGTGTAGAAACTGTAAATTTCCGGATCCACTCAAAAAAGCACTAGTGATCCCACTGCACAAAAAGGGCGATGTTACAAACATGAATAATTATAGGCCAATTTCATTACTTTCTGTATTTGCTAAAATTTTTGAAAAACTCATGAAAAAACGTTTGCTAAACTTTTTAAAACTTAATAAGGTACTAGTCGGAAATCAATATGGTTTTCGAGAGGGAAAATCACCTGAAGATGCGTTATTAAATTTTTGTTCAATGCTTTTTGATGGACTTAATAAGCGACAATATGTTAGTGGGATTTCTAAAGCGTTTGATTCTGTGGATCAAAATATTTTGTTACATAAATTATGGACTGTAGGTATCTACAAAATCGGACACAATTTGTACGCTATAGGGGAGCAGTAAGTAAATCATTGCGGAATGTTTCTGGTGTTCCTCAAGGATCAGTTCTTGGTCCAATTTTATTCCTTATTTACATCAATGACCTGTGTGCAGCTAACCTCCGCGGAAGTTTAACTTGCTTTGCAGATGATACTGCTCTGTGTTACTCGGCACAAGCCCCGGAACAATTGCAACATTCGATGCAGGCCGATTTAGATAAGTTAAGGTTGTGGTTCAATTACAACAAAATGGTTTTAAGCACCAAAACCAAGTTTCTACAGTTTTCTCTAAGACGTCACTCAAAAAGTATTAATATTTATTTTAAATGTCAGAATTGTTTATATCATGAGCAGCCATACTGCGAAAGGAGTTGAAACTATAAAATATCTTGGTATTACCCTGGATAACTGTTGTAATTGGAAACCTCACATCAATGCGTTAAAGCGTTATATGTATATGGCAATGAGAAAATTCTATTTGTTAAAATTTATCTGTCCGCAACCTATCTTGAGGAACGTTTATTACTCACTGATAAACTCTAAGCTGCATGCTGCAGTACGGTATATGCGTATGGGGCGGTACATATTTGTCGTCCATAAAACCATTTCTTGTTGCTCAGAAAAAAATAATTCGAATTTCTGGTGTGGTGTGTCAATGTTACATTCGTCATTTCTCTTATTTGTTTCATTAAAAATACTGCCATTAAGATACATGTATGTGTTTCGTGTTTTAAGAATGTTCTACCTTAGGAGTGGTCACATAGAGGGTGATTATAACGTTCACTCAAACAGATTAAAATCTAAGAACCTTGTGTGGACTCCTAAGCCAAACATCGAGGCCTATAAGCATTTTTATACATACTGTGCACCATATTTATTTAATAAATTACCAAGCCACATATATCTAGTATAAGAATATGTACGAAATTTACAAATAATTTAAAATCGTGGTTACTAACAGCACAGATGGGTATTTTATCTGTGCTAACAGTTTACGACGTAGAAATTCTTTTTTTACAATAGGTACACCATTTATTTATTTGTTTATTTTTCTCTTTCTTTTTCGTTATCTTTAAATAGTGTATTCTTTGTAGGTATAACTCTTTGCCTTTGTCTCCATCTTGCTTGATTTTTACTGTGATAACAAGAAGATAGGTTAATAGGCGTATCATTTTCTTATCTAAAGTTTAACTTTCATTACACCGTTACAGTAGTCTATAAATCTCTCGCCACGGATATCATTATTACTGCAATTTTTAAGTTCTTTTTTCTCTGTTTAATTTATGTAGTGCATTTGGAATTAATATTAACTTGGTTTTTTTAAGTGATGGTAACCTCAACACAACAGTAATTGTTTAATGAGGTACCTATCTGTGATTCATCTAATCTTATTTACTTGTTTTAGTTTATTATTTTTTTTAGAACATATTGTTATTTTTTGTTTTGTTTGTTGTTTTTGTAGTACCTACTTCATACTTCATTTAATTTGAAAATTAATCCAAATGCCGTTTGCAGATTGCAACACGAACGCTTTGGGATCCATCGGCAAGGGTTCGGAATCGGTACGATCGTTCACACTTATGCGAAAATGTTTCAAAATCTTTGCCACCACAATTTTTGCTTCCATGATTGCGAAACGTTGACCTAAATTGCATTAATATCATTTGAGGTAACAGTTTAACTTATATTACCCAGGCAGGAACGAGGGCCAGCTCCGAACGGAATATAGGCGCATGGATGCCGTGAGCGTCCTTCAGCAAATCTTTCCGGTAGAAATTTTTCAGGATCAGGGTATAGAATCGGATCGTTGTGGATTCCTAAAGTTGAAATATACACGTAATCCCCCTTGTTTATTGTTAGCGATGTTCCGGGAACTCTGTATTCCTTAGTACATTCTCTTCGTAGTATTGTGGAAGCTGGATATTTCCGCAATGTTTCTGGTAAAGACGGACAATAGATAAGCTTTACTTAGGGATTAAATGTTTACCTTTAAGGCACTGATCTAAAAACCTCATTTGACCAATAGCATTGGAATTGATTTCCTTGCATTCCTCCACCACCCTCATTTGGTAACTTTGATTCATTGCTAACTCATAAAGGCAAAATGAAATCAGAGACGAGACTGTTCTGTAACCAACGACGAAGAAAATCCACCAATTAGCCGCTATGTTTTCTAGAGGCAAGTCATGACTTTCCGCTTGTAAAATACGAACAAAATTGTAACCGTCATGGCCCCCCTCTTGCAGAATTGCAGCAACTTTACTTAAAAACAAATTCTTCTTTTTATCAGACATTGTCTTGATTTTTGTCCCCAATATCACATCCGGAAACACAATTACCATTAGTCGCACAAATGACTCTGAAGGAGAAAGCTTCCAAAATTTTTCAGCGTACTGCACAATTTCCTCTCGATTCTTCTCCATAAACTCGCTACTATTTTCAAATAAGCAGCAAGCAATTACATCGAGTGTTATTTTACTAACGAATCCTTCTAGTTCTATTGGTTGAGCCACTTCGTGTAGCTGCGCGATGTATTTGTCCACGCATTTCGACACCCTATCGTATAGCAGTTTGACATTAAGAGATCCAAAAAGGGGAGCGAATTTTGTACGGTTCTCTTTCCATCTCGCACCGTCAATTGATACCAAGTGCAGCGACAGTGGCTCCTTGTCATTTCGATAAAATATTCGATCCTTAAAGTGATCGAAGTCGGTCACCATTATTTTCCGTACCAAATCCAAATCACACACAATGAGAATAGGGGTTGTGAACATGTAGTAACCGAAAAATGGTAGCTGCCTTTGTCGACAATGCTTGTAAACATTTTTCAGTGCTGTACCAACGTGCTCTCTCTGGAGTATTACGGATTTTGCATTACCAAAAAAGAACTGTGGTTCTAGTGTCGCAACCCCTTTTCTTTTCCAATGTTTTAAGCGATGGTAATTAACATAGAAGTAAATGGCGAGAAAGATGGACGTTAGACAGATGTAGATCAGCATTTTGTTTTGACACCTCACTAATCGACCACATAGAAAGAGAAAAAAGTTCCATTACGTGATACGCATACTAAAATAAATTTCTCAGGGTAAAAAGAAATAAATTTTGATGTCTAATTTAAAAGTATTGTGTTAATGCAAGGGAGTGAATCTGCATATCGCAATAACAATGGCTTTTGTAGAATCTCCTCTATTTTGCAATTATTAGGGTGAAGTCAAATTCAAGTCGGGTCTATTATTCTACTTTCTCAAGATCCTTTTCTGTATAAAATTATATGCAACACCGCTTTTTAGCGCATTTCCACAAAAATAAAAAAAGGTGCTATGTGGTGTCCGTCCGTCTGTTCGTCTCTACGGCTGTATCGCTACCAGATCTTTATCTTAAGATCTATAATTGTTCTACTGTTTTCGCTATTTCGCTCGTTGTGATGTCGAGGCTTGCACTAAAGAAGGAATTCTTCTGCGTTTATTACCTACTAAAAAAATTATCGTAAAAAATCAATTTCTTGCAGGCTACTTTATCAAAACCGTAACGCTTGTAAGAGACTAAGGAAAGTGCCAATATTTATGGGGAGATATTTTCTAAAATTTCTAGGAAATATTTATCACAAAAAAGTCAATTAAACGCACAAAAATAGGCTGTGCTTCCGCAGACTAAAAAGCACAAGAAATTGACTCATTTTTTATTAATTTCCGAAAGAACTTATTAATCGTACTTTGAAACATGAAGCTTCTCTGTTTGCCGTTAATAAAGGCTTCGAATTAACACACAACGTGAAATTACACAACGCAAACAGATAAAAACAAAATTTTGAAGAAACTTTAATTAAACACTCGAATCCATTCCAAAGTCTTAATAATAATAGTTTTTATTTGCCTTAATTTTTAAGAGCGTGTGCTTTCAGGCTAGTGAACGGGGAATGATTTAGGTTTTCCAAATAGTATGTACTTTCCATTTGGTATAATTATTGTGACATCATTTCGTTTGAAAATAGTTTGAAAGCGAAAAATAAAGTGCTTTAATTGCGGCTTTTTTCTTTTGCTCATGTAATCGTTATATTGTTTTTCATTAAATTGTAAACAACTGAACCAGATTAAAAATAAGGCTTTGTTAAAAGAATGTCGAGTGTCGCTTTTGCGTTAAGAGCAACGGACTTCAGCACCAAATTTTAAATTAAAATAGAAGTGCTACATATTTTGTTGATGATATTCTTATTTGAAAATTATGTAAGAAAAATTACTTACCAATGTGCTCCTTCAGCTCTTCTGATAGTAACTTGCAATATTGAAACTGTGCTGATATATCACATGTGTGTGACGTCAGGGTCCAGGGAACAATTTGCAAACAGTTGCCATGAGCTGAGCATCATTTTCGAATTTAGTTACGTGCGTACGAAAGCATATAATCGGAACGTAAAGGTAGGTCCATTTCATTAGTGTAAAACAGTGCATTATTAACGAGCATTCTAATTAATATTGACGGAGAATAAATTTCTATAACAGGTTTTTTATTTTTTTATCTGATGGTTTTCGACATTGCTGCAATAGATTATAACGTGAGGTTAGTTCGGCGCTGTAAAACTCAAACCCCGCCGCATAAACGGCCAGCTAGCTCAGATTCTTAATTAAAAGAAGGGCTCGAGATGAGAATCTTCCACAGCGGTTTGTTCGTTTGGGCATATAACATAAGTTTTTGATCTTTGGTAGTCACTAGAAATGATTAGTTGAGCGCCACCCAATTTTGCACAAATTCTGACCTCTCCTGTATAGAAATTGGGAAAACACAAGAGAGCCAAATAATAAATTCACTACGAGCAATTCTGATTTATTAATCCTGACAAAACGGTGCAGGATCGGCAAATAAAATGTATCTTCAATACGACAATAACAAATACTTTAAATGACAAAAATAATCCCCAAATAAATTCCTGAACACTTCCCTAATAATTACGTTACCAGCCCCCTACAACAATGATCGAGCAAAAATGTAGTTAAGCTTTCAATGGATTCAAAGATTGAATTAAAGTTAACCCGAATAACAACTCATATAGGCAACACTGGGTACAAGTAAATTAAAAATCTTACCTTGAATAACACATAAGCTGTCTTCTCCGAAAAAGAGCTCTCCTTCGAAGTTCCAGTTCTGTAACACAAAAACAAACCCCAAGCTACAACGCTCGGAACGATTATATGAGCCGGAAGGGCCAAAAATAGCTTACTCGTAGCCGGCTCGTTTACCCATACGTTAAATACAGGTGCGTTGCTCTTGAAGAGAGTCACGACCTCAAACACTTGATGCGAACAAAATACAAAGCTCCGATCATAAATCGTCGGAAGGTTACACTAGATTAACAGTATTGAAGCAAATAAAAAAAAGGTTGTGTAAAAGATCGTATCTTCCGAAAATTCCACCATCAGCTGGTCGCTCCCGGTATCGTTTAGGTGTTAGCGCTTATCTACTCGGTGGTACGCCGGATAGCTGCCGGCAATCAGGTGTTCGTACTCCGGAATATTCGCAAGATGCAAATTCATTTACATACAAGGATTCGTCTGTACAAGGATTGGTCTACTACATGGATTGATCGGTACAAGAATTCATCTACTACATGGATTGATCGGTACAAGAATTCATCTACTACATGGATTGATCTACTACATGGACCCCCTAAAAGTAATGAAGATGTAACACTCCCTTAACGAGATTTTTAATAACATACCTGAAATCGTCAGGAGGGTAATGAAAAATACTTAAATCAATGAAATATGGAAATTATCCAAGAGGTTGTGAATCTGAAAGAATTTTAGATAACATAACGTAAAAGAAAGCCAACGCCATTTCACTTACATGTAGGTAGGGCGATGAACTTCAACCAGATAATAGCCTCACAATGGAGAAAACGGCTTCTGAGTTACTCTACTCGACAACGCCAATAAACAGGTAAAATTGCCAGAGATTTTACGTGAATGATGGCAAATATTACCCACTGGTTTTAGAAGAATTCACAATGCCACGCTCTACAAGTACAACCTCGTTGGCTTTAAAACGGAAATGAAGTGAAAAAATTACGCGATTCTGCGCGAGGAAAGAAGCACGCGTACAAGTGCCGCCATCTCACCTATATCCTGCCTAACGTAGCAAGCGGTAATTTTGAAATTTGAATATAAATAAACTAAACTGTTACAAGATCGTACCATCAGCCTTAATCAGTTGGTGGCTCCACCAATTTTTAATTTAAATAAAAAAATATTCTTGTACATACTTACTTTCGCGTTGTTTAAAGGCATCCGATTGTTATTGTTTTAACTATTATAATCAAGGACGTCAAAGATAAGGATAAATGAATAAAAATAACCGTGATCCTTCCTCAAGTGGCAGCAAGACTCTGAGCTTTATCTTCTGATGAGTTTTTTTTAAGTTATTGCGTGTGGTTGGTAAAGCGGCCGTTTCTGAAACTACCCACTGAATATAAGGGTAGACCTAGAAAAAATAACTCGCAAAATTCTGTTTCGTAGAAGCCTTTTAATGATATAATTAGGGACTGTGAGTGAGAACTTTGTACCTCTCTGCTTTAGAAATGGAAAGTATTGTACCCCAGCGATCGTTCCTTAGATTTAGTCTGAAAGGGCTATTATAGATAAAGTGGGCATTTCAGGACAAACTTGCCCATTTCACGTATTACGTAAAATAAGTACCCATTTTGATCGAAACTGTGGCGACATTGGATTCAGAGTCAGAAGCATTTTGGAAAATGGAAAAGTGCTCAAAACTAGAGCCGCTATCTCCGTCAGTCATCCGATCAGAAAGTTGCTGGAGTGCAGAGGATATCTCTCCTTGTGACATAGATGTGGCCTCGTTTCGAAAATAAACAACTTTTCTGCAGATTTTGTAGATTCTATCGAAAAATGTATAGATTATGTACATTCAGCAGATTTCATACATCTCGTATATCCCGATTCCCGTAGATTCTGTCGATGAATATTCTGTAGATTGGCTACAAATTATGTAGGACCTTTAGATTTTGTAGATAAGGTAGGTTATGCAAATTTTGTTGATTTTATATATAGATTTTTGTGGGTTCTGAATCCGTAAGTTCTGTAAATCAGGCACTTTAGACAAAAAAATGCCCTAAATTAGACAAAATTAGTAACTAGCTGATTTTTGGTGGGGTGTTAGTATATGATAAGGTAAGTATTTTCTTAAAGTTCCCCTTACTTCCTCCGTTTGCTTCACCCGGTACAGCGATAGAAAGAGCCTGTGACCGGAAAGTAATGAAATCGCTATTGTGCTCCATCTATGGCACCGATTTTGGCGGTTGTGGTCCTAAATTGTTCAAAATGACAGTGGTTGTGCTAAATAATAACCACTGCAATAATCCATAACATTTTGAGGTGTTTTATTTGGAATTTTATGTAAATTTTAGCAATTCTTTAACCGCAAATCCAATAAATAATTAAAGCGCTTTCAGAGCGCCTAAAATGAAGAACTTTGTTACAATTTCGCATCTTTAACATCCTGCAGAGGATGCGATCGATGCATTGGCGCAATCTCCAATACAGCGGGTAAACTTGGAAGGACAAGCCCGGGCGCAGTCACAATGTCTGTCACACTGGCCTTTACGAACATGTGTATAATTAAATGAAAAAGCTCGTCAGGGGCTTGGTGCAGGGGTGACTTGCTCGTGAGATATCCGGAATCCCCATTCTGTGGGTGTTAGTGGTTTCCAAGCCAATGTTGTACCTGAAGATACACGCGGTGAGAATGGAGAATGAAACTGATGAAACTTTCTGGTGAGGGACAGTGTATATGTGTCTTGTCGAATCCCGACGTCGCGTCGCATGTAAAAAGAGCAAAGTCTCTTTTGTGCGGCCAATTTTTTTTAACGTCGTCTTGTAAGGTAAAGCCTTTATTTTTTTAGTATTTGGTTTAACGAAAAACATTTTCTAAGAACACTCCGCTCCTCATAAGCGCGAATAAATCCTCATCCATCGCAACTACGGCAACTTGGTCTAAAGTGGTCCCCTCGATAACGACCGTCACAATCGAGGTGTCGGCGTCTTGCTTTACCTGCAAGTCCACACAGCGAGATCTTCTGCTTTCCTCACAGGCGTTCGTGCTCATTGATGAGTCATACCAGTCAAATACTACCACTGTGGACTTACCATAGTGTGTCAGTACCTATTAGACATACGAGTGGCAAATATCCCGGTTAGCTAGGTCGCGGCCAAACTCCTTTCCTGAGAAGGAATCCTACGTCGACAACGTATTGCACTTTGTAGGTCGGTGGACTATCAGTGCAGCATACTTTTCTATAGTTTCCTCTAACACTGACTTTGTTGTTTTCCTCATGTAAGGCTCATCAGGCAACGATGGTGCGGCTTCGGAGCGAGCTCATACGAGATATTCCTTATGGTCCTCTGGACATTTCGACATGCAAGTGGTTCTCATAAAAAGCTGATAAGGGTCTACTCGTGTCTCCTTGCCTCTGATTTTAATGTGCCGTTTACGACGCGATGTTCAGTGGTTTTTTACCACCCGCACGTTAGTAAGGGGGGTATTTCAGTGGGGTCAAAAATGACCCCCCACTCCTTTGACGGAAATACACGTTTTGAAGCACCAGGATCGTGGAATCAAACATCAAACAAAATCTCAATGATGTCGGTCTGTCGCTCTGTCGGTCCGTCTGTGGGTACTCTCATTTCCGGCTAAACGGCTGAACCGATTGGACTCAAATGTGGTACACATATTCTTAGCCATAAATGGGTAGAATTGCGCATACGCAGGTGTGCGGGTGGCATCTGTGCTAGACACTGCAATTTGTTTATGTTTTATTGTAACGTCACAAAATTACCAAACATTTTAAAGATAACAGTTTAAAATGCCATGAATTGTTGTAGTGGATATTCTTTAGCATAACGACTACTATTCTGAACAATTTAAGTCCACAACCACCAAAACTGTGCCGGAGATGGAGCGCAATTGCGATATTATTGTATTCGCGCTCCTTAAGTCTTTTTTATCGCTCTACCGGGTGAAGCAAGCGGAGGAAGTGAGGGGAGCTTTCAGAAAATACTTACCTTATCACCCACTAACAACTCACAAAAAATCAGCTAGTTACTAATTTTGTCTATTTTTTAACCTAAAGTGCCTGGGCTAATATGTCCCGTACATTTTGTCAAACGCAAAGAAACTGGCGTCTATATCTCAAAAATAAGAAAGTTATGGTGTTCAAAAG